ACTGCACATAGATATGCTATATGCTAGGCTAATCTATGTTGAAAAGACAACCACATTCTGATGGTGGTTAAAAGTATTTAATCTACAACAATCGTTAATTAGCTAGTGAGCTAGCGTTTGTTCTAGTCTTGTCTTTTATGAGTTTGAAACTGTTAACAGCTAACTAATGATTGATGTAAATCTTCTAGCTAACTTTCTAATTTGAATTGTTTAGCTAACAGTAGCTAACTTAAGATGCGACTATATGTGTCTCTTTTACCTTTTAACCATCTTCAAAATGTGGTTGTCTTTTCAACATAGATTATCTTAGCATGTAGCAGAGGAAAGGAGGATGTTGACAGAGGTTCAGACTGAAGTTTGCTCAACTGTTATTGGACACAGAGCAGAAAGGGGCGGGACTTAAGAAAGGTCAATTAGTCCATTAGACCATTCCCACTAAGGCAGATTAATTAAATAATGTTCTTTCCTTGCTGAAAGCCTGACGTCCACATTAGCATTAGATGAGCCACTCCAAATCCACTTCCACCCACTTGGCTTGCTGACATTTTCAAAACATTACCCCAGAGGGAAATTTGTTTATGCTGTTTGCATTATGTGTTCTTCCCGACTTTGTTTGCAGTGCATGCTGGGAGGATTTGAAGGTCGTGGCCCGAGAGCGTCAGGATCAGCTGCAGAGAGCCGAGGAATGTCACCGCTTTTACCGAGACCTGACTGATGCACTGACTCTCATCCAGGTACAGCGTTTATCAATACACCGTGTCTATCCATCAGTCCACACATACATACTGAAATCAGATTCTCTCTGTAGGAGCGACAGAAGAGCATCCCCGACGACGTGGCGAAGGATTTGCGAGGAGTGATGTCACAGCGGAGGAAACATGAAGCTCTGCTCCACGAGCTGGCTGCCACAGAGCAGCAGGTACAGACACACAGAGAGACAAGAGTTCATCATTCACTGCACAAAGTATCAGGATTTCATCGCGTCTGAAACATCCGTCCACAAAGTTGGACCTGAGCTGGCGATGTGTTGTCTGAAGTACAAATGGGGTCACAGGCTGTAAAGTGTTGCTTCGTTTGTTTCAGCTTGTTTAACTTTATTGTGAGCTTCAGCAGTTTCATGCAACCGTGGCTCGATACGACTGTGTGCTGCTTCCAATGTGTTTGAGATTAACTGTGAGAGTGTAAGATTAACAAAGATTTAGTTTCATCAAATCCAGTTTCATAACTTAAAACAGTGTTTTTGGAGTCCTGTGAAGCAGCTCGTGGACGATCACAGTGTTGTTGTTGTTGTTGTTGTTTATGATGTATTTGTGTGTGTTGCAGTTACAGGAGCAGCTGGATGCCGTCGACTCCATCCTGGAACTCTGCACGCCTCAGCTGAAGCTCCGCCTACAGGAAGTGCAGCAGGAAGTGGTGGACCGGTGGGAGGAGCTCCGACGCCACGCGGAGCAGAGGGAGGAGGAGCTAAAACTGGCATGCCAGAGATACCTGTTCCTGAACACGGTGAAAACAGAGGGACGATTAAACGTCATCAAAAATCCCATCATGCTTTAGGTCTGACCCACGTGTCTTTGTGCTCTCCAGGCGCAGGATTACTTCCTGTGGTGCAGCCAGCTGATCGGTGCGATGGCTGCGGAGGAGAGCATCAGCGACGTGACGACGGCCGACCTCCAGCTGGCCCAGCACCAGCAGCTGTGGGCCGAGATGGAGGCGAGACAGGAGACCTACCAGCAGGTTCTGGACATGGGGGCGGAGCTGCAGACACAGGACAACAGGAAGGAGGTGAGGTTTAGAGGCTTGCGGCGCGTTCAGGTGCAGTCTGGTGTCAGAGGTGTTAAACTGCGGCTCTTCGTGGGTTCTTCCAGGTGCTGGAGAAGCTGGAGGCCCTGCAGGCAGAGCGAGACAAGCTGGAGGAGCAGTGGAACCAGAAGCAGAGCTGGTTGGAAACGGTCCACCTAGAGCAGGTCTTCTACAGGGACGTTAACAGCGTGGACAAGACCTCCAGCTCGCAGGAGGTACGGGAGGTCTGTGCGTGTGTTCTCCAGAGGAAGTGAGACGTTCAGTGTCTGATCGCTGCTGTAATCTCCACAGATCCTGTTGCAGAACAGCACTCTGGGAAACACGGTCGATGAGACGGAGGGTTTGATCAAACGCCACGAAGCTTTTGAGAAGCTGCTCAGCTCGCAGGAGGACAAGGTCTGCTTCTGTGTTTATCTCTAATATTTCATTTAATCAGCTGATCCATTAAAGGGACAGTTCACTCCAAACTCTTGTTCAGTTGCAAGAAAACAGGTCCTACATGGAACTGCTCACATAAGGATTATCTTCAGTAACAGAGTCATGATTTCTGGAAAGATACATTACTGTTGAGTATGTATTATTTTTTTGCTGTCTGATTCCAATTTATTGGAACCACCATTGAACAATGTTGCCTTTAATATGCTATAGAATTAACCAATATTAGCTAGCTAGCTGGCTAACATACAGGTAGCAGGGTAAGGGGTTAGATGTCTGTGCACATTCCTGTTGGGCAGCCCTGCTGTAGACCAACGTCCTGAGTGTTTACCTTGATATGAGGTGCTGCGGCGCTCATATCAAGAGCAGATCTTCCCTTCCTCTGTTCGGTTCAGCTGACGGCTCTGAAGGAGCTGGCAGAGCGGTTGAGGAAGCAGCTGAGCAGAGAGAAGAGCGGGCGGGTCAAAACCAAACTGAAAGCCCTCCTCCAGCGACGGGATAGGATTAAGGAGCTGTCCGTCAAACGCAGGGAGGAGCTCGAGCTTTCCAGAATGCTGTGCATCTTCAACCGAGACGTCGCCGAGGTAGCCGACTAACCAGTCAGAAAATATTGTCCAGGATGTTTTTGATTTTTATCTTCAGATTAATAAAACATTACCAAAATTAACCAACAGGCTGAGGAGTGGGTGTCGGAGCGGATGCAGAAGATGGCGGAGGACGGTAAAGCCGACCTCAGCAATCTGCAGGCCAAGATGAAGCTCCTGCAGAAACATCAGGTGTTTGAGGCTGAGATCCTGGCTCACAGAGAGATCATCAGCTCTGTGCTGCAGGTGAGACCAGATGATAATAAATAATGAGACTCAGATCAGATGAGTGTTACCAGATCAGAGGTCAGATTCACCGTCTTCCTGCTCTGTGCCTCCAGGCCGGGAAGGAGCTGGTCTCCATTCGTCACCCGAGGTCTAAGGAGGTGAAGAGGAGTGCAGCTAACCTGGAGCTCCACTGGGAGGAGCTGAAGAAGGCCATGGTCACCCGGGGGAAAGCTCTGGAAGATAACAGAGACTTCCTGGAGTTCCTGCAGAAAGTGGAAGAGGTAGAAGCCTGGATCAGACACAAGGTAGGAGACAGACAGACAGACGGAGGGAGGGATGGATGGTGTGTTTACAGTGTATTTACACACTGTAAACTAACTGTAAACATACTGTATATTTACAGTGTGTTTACAGTGTGTAATGTCTGTGTTTTAGGAGGTGATGGTTAACGTCGGAGATGTGGGGAAGGATTATGAACATGGAGTTCAGCTGCTGAAGAAACTCAGCGAGTTCAGGGGGACTGGAGATGGGGTGAGGATGCAGTGTGCTAGCTTTATGTTTGTGGATGTCCGTACTCCTCTCAGCTCTTTGCTGCTCGAGCCTTAAATGTACTGAAGTGATGTTTGATTTGTAGAACATGACGGTGGACGACGCTCACATCACAGCCATCAACAGACTGGCAGCCCGACTGGAGAAGAGACAGAGCGCTGATGAACTGGTGACTGTCAGACAGCGGAGACAGCAACTCAATGACAGGTAACACCTTCACCGTCATCCTCACCTTCATCCTCACCTTCAGTCTCACCTTCAGCCTCACCTTCACCCTCACCCTCACCTTCAGCCTCACCTTCAGCCTCACCTTTACCCTCACCTTCAACCTCACCCTCACCTTCAGCCTCACCTTCAGCCTCACCTTCAACCTCAGCCTCTGGATTCTGTTTCACACTAAAAACTCCTCGCCTCCTCCAGGTGGAGCAAGTTCCATGGAGATCTGAACAATTACAAGAAGAAGCTGGAGGGGGCGCTGGTGGTCCACGCCCTCATCAGAGAGCTGGAGGAGGTTAGAGACAGAGCCAACGAGAAGGTCAGTCACCTGATACCTTAAAACTTTACACGTCACGTCTCCTGCTGAGACTGACAGGCTGTCGTCCGCAGATGCTGCTGCTGCAGGGTCAGGACTGTGGGTTTGATGTGGACAGCGTAGAGAACCTGATCAGACGTCATGAGGAAACGGAGAGAGAGGCTGGGGTCATCCAGGAGAGGTCAAAGGTGAGCTTTTATAGCAGTGTTTCAATGAACTAAAGTCTTGAAAAGATGTGACATTAATCCACTCAGTGTCCATTATGACTGATGGACCTAGAGTTCACTGACTGCTCTCTCTCTCTCTCATCTACTCAGGCCCTGGAGAAGGAGGTCTCAGATCACCTGAAGGCTCGATCAGTGATGAGCGACAAGCTGAAGAACAAACAGAAGGAGGCCCAGAAAGCTTTGAAGACTCTGGACAAGGAGGTGAAACTCAGGTGAGGGAGATTTTATTTTATATATTATTGAAAGTGCTGCCACTGATGTCAGTTAACTTATCTAAAGCAAGACCCATCACTCTGTTTCACCTTCAATAGCTCATGAAGACAAATTAAAGCCTCAAGCAGCGATGATTCGGGCCCTTGTGTTATGTGCCAGAATATCCCGTGTAGACAAAACTGTGAGTTGAGTGGAGTCCGACATAGGTGAAGTCTTACTGGCGAAGTTGCAGACTCAACCACTGGAACAAATGCCAAAACTTTAAGAAAGTTGTGCTTATTACAAACAATGAAAACTCAGTTATTAAAGATTCTTAAATTAAAAGTATTTTGGTCAAATTAATAATAAAAAAAAATAAGACACAATCTCTTCAGACAGCATCAGAAAATCAGTGACTTTGTTCTTGTTTTTATCATTTAAAGAGTCATTTCCCAGAAACAAGGCTGTTTTATTCTCTTGAGATTCCATTCTGCATTGTCCTGCCCACATTTGACCTCGGCAGGCCTCCGTCTGCATTATTGTGTGAGTGAGCGAGTGGACTCATTGGACTGTTGTTTGTTTAGGCAGGAGAAGCTGCAGGAGGCCCACCAGCTGCAGCTGTTCAAAGCCAACCAGCGCCTCCTGCTGGAGTGGAGCGTCAAACAGAGCAGCGAGATGGCAGAGAAAGGCCTTCCCAAGACCCGAGCCGAGGCAGACCGCCTCCTCGTAGAGCACCAGGACTGGAAGGTGAGAGTACTTCTGTCTCCTTCCAGATCAGATCACTAACAGTAAACTGTGCAGACTTAATCCTGTTGTTCTGTGCAGACGGAGATCGACGCCCGCGGCGAGCGCATCGACTCCGTACGGGACTTCGGTTTGGGTCTGATCCGGTCCGGTCACAGTTCAAAGGCAGAGATCCAGAAGGCCCTGAACCAGCTGGAGGAAGCCAAATCCGGACTGGACCGAGCCTGGTTAAACCGCAACAAGACCCTGGAGCAGGCCCGAACCCTGCAGGTGATGGTCTGAGGGTGTAAAACACAGTCGAATATAAATTTAACCCCCTCACTGATCACAACTACTGTTCAGGGTGTTTGATTGTGAGCATATTACCCCACTCAAGATTGCTCAACATCTTCTGAGCCTAAATATATTCACTTTAAAGCTCCAGTGTGTAACATTGAGGAGAATCTATTGTCAGAACTGTAATGTAATAATCATAGTAATATAATTTTTGTGTATTTGTGGGTGAATGTGGCTCATTGGACTCACCGGTTCTCCATCCTGCAGGTCTTCCTGGCCTCCGTAGAGGAGTGCGAGAGCTGGCTCAGCAACAAGGAGGCCTTCCTGTCCAATCAGGACCTGGGGGTAAGAACCATGTGGACCATGTTACTGGGAAAGAAAAACCATCTGAACAGACCTGAATTAACACAGTGCCCATGAACTCAGCATATCTACTACAAAAGACAGATATGGGCCTACAGGGTTTATAATTACACCAATCACATATTTTAAATGTATCAGTGGTTAAGTTTGTAGTAAAATATGACAAATATTTTAAAAGTCTGCTCGTTGTCTTAATGCCGCAAGAGGAACCTCCGTTATTTCATGAGGTCACGTTGTCGGGGAGCAGTGCCAGAATAGTAGCAGGTCTAACGTTAGCTAACATTAGCTACAGTTAGCAGCAGTTATAAGTTACTTTGACAACAAGTAAATATAATCAATGATCAATAAAATATGATCCAGTTTATCTCAAATCTACGAATAAAGTTAGATAAATAATAAATAAACCCTACTGTTGGTGCAGAGCTCGGTGACGGAGGTGGAGACTCTGCAGAGGAAGCAGGCTCAGTTCGAGGAGGCTCTGGAGGCGCAGGTGGACCAGCTGGACGAGGTGGAGAAACTGGCCCAGAAGATGATCCATCAGAAACACTACGACTCTGACAACATCGGAGCCAAGAGCAGAGTGCTCGCCGCCAGGTAGTGAGAACGCCATCGAACCCGTCTGTAGCTCCACCCGCTCTCTCAACCTGCAGCCACCTTTCTTTTGTTGTTGTTCACTTTTATTTGCAATAAGCCAAGGTCGTGACATATTGGGGGCTCGTCCAGGAGACAGAGCGGTTCCTTCTGGTTGGAACAGGATTTACTGAGTCTGAAATCTGTCTGTCTGTCTGATCAGTGTGTCTGTCTGTCTGATCACCTGTCTGTCTCTCTGATCACCTGTCTGTCTGTCTGATCACCTGTCTGTCTGTCTGTCTGTCTGATCACCTGTCTGTCTGTCTGATCACCTGTGTGTAGGCGGAGTCAGCTGCAGCAGCAGAGCAGATCTCGTCACAAAGCTTTGGATCGATCACTGCAGCTGCAGCAGTTCTTGTCCAGCAGCTACCAGGTACTGGACTGTACTAGACTGTACTGGACTGTAGTGGACTGTAGTGGACTGTAGTGGACTGTAGTGGACTGTAGTGAACTATAGTGAACTGTAGTGGACTGAAGTGGACTGTAGTGAACTGTAGTGGACTGTAGTGAGTTAAAGTGAACTGTAGTGGACTGTACTGAACCGTAGTGAACCGTAGTGGACTGTAGTGGACTGTCGTGAACTGTAGTGGACTGTAGTGGACTGTAGTGAACTATACTGGACTGTACTGAACCGTAGTAAACCATAGTGGACTGTAGTGGACTGTAGTAGACTGTAGTAGACTGTAGTGAACTGTAGTAGACTGTAGTGAACTGTAGTGGACTCTTGAACTGTAGTGGACTGTAATGGACCGTAGTGAACTGTAGTGAACTGTAGTGGACTGTAGTGAACTGTAGTAGACTGAAGTGAACTGTAGTGGACTGTAGTGGACTGTAGTGGACTGTAGTGGACTGTAGTGGTCTGTAGTGGACTGTAGTGGACTGTAGTGGACTCTGGTTGTGTTTTCCAGGTGTGTGTGTGGCTTAATGAGCGTAACGCTGTGGCGCTGGATGAGAGCTGGAGGGAACCAACCAATCTTCAGGCCAAACTGCTGAAACATCAGAGCTTTGAGGCTGAGATCCTCGCCAACCACTACCGAGTGGACGCGCTCACCAAGGTTGGCGACAACACAATGTTTATAAGATTAAAACATGCTGAGTGAGGGGAGCGGACAGGAAGTGAGTCTGACCATAGTGGTGATGTCTGCGTGCAGGAAGGAGAGAAGCTGCTGTCCAAGTCTCGATTGGTTGAGGCAAAGGTTCGACCTCGACTCAGAGAGCTGACGGACAGCTGGGGCGCTCTGATCCACAACTGTAAGGAGAAGAAGACCAGACTGCAGGAGGCCTACCAGGTACACAACGCCTGTTAGCTTCAGCCTCAGCCTGTTAGTCTGTCAGAGGTTTCTGCCTCTTAAAAGGCAGTTTTTCCTTGCCCCCGTTGCCAAGTGCTTGCTCACAGTGGCACTGTTGTACCTGTTGTCCTGAGTTAACTTCTGTTATGAATTAACTTCTGTTATGAATTGGCACTATACAAATAAAATTGAATTGAATTGAATTGAATATCATGTTATATTATGTTTTCCAGGCGCTGCAGTTCCAGCGCTCGTTGGATGACATGGAGCAGTGCGTTGGGTCGGTGGAGAGGGAACTGGCCGGTGAGGACTGTGGGAGCGACCTGCCGTCTGTCAACCGGCTGCTAAAGGCTCTGCAGGGTCTGGAGGAGGAGGTGGACGGACACAGAGACAGAATCCAGGTATGCAGCGTCTAAGGCTGCAGCAGGAAGAACGTCGGGATGATTTAGTAGCTGTACTGTAAATATATGATATTGTTTTATTTGAACAGGCTCTGGTGGAAACAGCAAAGAGCTTCCACTCTCAGGGAAACTTCCTGGCTGAGGAGATCCAGATCAGAGTGGCACACACCATCAACAGGTTCCTAATTTACAGCCAGATTCTTCCTATAATTTAGCCAGATCTGCATCAGGAGTCTGGATGAACGTGGCTGACAGTATTTTGTTACATTAGCTTCAGTATCTCACGTAGGGAACCTTTAATTGCAGTAACAGTGTGTGTGTTCTCGTCTCCACCAGGTACAACAGTCTGTCGGAGCCCCTGCAGAGTCGGAGGGAAACCCTGGAGGCCTGGCAGGTTCTGTTCCAGTTCTACAGAGACCTGGAGGAGGAGGTGGCCTGGCTGAGCGACAGACTGCCCTCCATCACTGCTAAAGACTGGGGCAGCTCTCTGAGCGGCACCCAGCAGCTGCTCCACAAACACCAGGTTCAAATCCTCCTGGATCCATAAACTACAGATATATCAACATTTTATTTTCATTACTAAAATCTCCCTAAAATGTCCTTTTAAAAGTTTAAACATTTTTTATTGTTTGTTTCAGGCTATGATGCAGGAGCTGTCAGGCCGCACCCCATTGGTCCAGGCAGTTCAGGAGGCGGGGCATAGCCTGGTGAGGAGACGCCACTCAGTGATACCAATGGTGGAATTTAACTAAATACATTTAAGTACCGAACTTAAAGGACCAGTTGTAGGGTTTAGTGCCATCTAATGGTGAGGTTGCAGTTAGCATACGCAGCAGTGCAGCAGTAAGAGACTTCCTGTGTTACAAGAGAAAAGGTCCGTGCTGCAACAATCGAACACAGCTTAACGCTTAATGTTGGTTTATTTTTATTATTTAAATGATAAAATACCAGTGACCTCAATGAACCAGAGGGTGGCGGCACTCAACATGAGGCACTGCACACTACAATTATCTGACAGCTTTTTACACACAAACATATGAAGACTTTATAAAATATCATGTTTTGTTATAAATTAAACTACAACAGTTTATACGGGTGCAGCTGTAACTATTAGTCTATTAATTAATCAGTTGATTGACAGAAAATTAATTGGTTGAAGTCATTTTTTTACATATTCTTTGAATTATTAGAATAATTTTAATTTATTTGTTTGGTTGGTTGTGACAACATTTCTTACTATTTTCAATCAATAAATAGATTAATGGATCAATAACCAGCAGATGGATCAGCTGAAAATGAGCTTTAACCAGCTGCAACAGGAAAATCTTTTACATTAATGAGTCAGATTAATCTAATTATATCAGATATAATAATACAGTTTAATACTTTAACTCATTAAACGCACATTTTTCCACTAAAGTAAATTTTTTACTTGTAACAGAGTATTTTTACTGTGTAGTATTAGTACTTTTAAGTTAAGTATTAAAATATTTTGTTAAGTGTGTTAAAATGTAAGGTGTAAGGTGGACAAGACTTTTACAGTCTGTTTACATTATGTTGATCCTGGCAGGTCAGAGGTCGTCACTTTGCATCTCACGACATCCGGGAGCGTCTGGAGGAGCTGAAGAGCCTCCACGAGGAGCTCATGATGGAGGCGGAGAAGAAGGGGAAACTCCTGCAGGAGGCGCTCAGCATCCACACCTTCCTCACTGAGGTAACAACAGAGCTGTAAATACATGTAGTTTTATTATTGTTTGTTTCAGTTCATTAATGTGTGTGTGTGTGTGTGTGTGGAGGTGTCTGAGCTGGAGCTGTGGTTGGAGGAGCAGCGGGTCGGTTTGGAGTCTCGGGACTGCGGGAGGAGCGAGGAGGCGACGGAGGCTCTACTGAGGAGGCTGGACTCTCTGGACGTGGAGCTGGAGAACCAGAGGAGGACGGTGGAGCGGTTGCGGGAGGGCGGAGCCTCACTGCAGCACCTGGGACATCCCAACAGGTAACGATACGACGGGCGGGACTCTTATCAAACAGGAAGTTTAAGAATGATTGTACAGCGAAGTTAAAACAACTTCCTATTTCAAAGCAAAACAGTGAAATTCAACGCTCTCCCACGGGCACGCCGTTCTAGGAAAACCCACAGATAGCACAACGTTCAATCATAATCATGAACATGACCCCAAAAATGCACATAACTGATTAATTATTCATTTTCTAGGTAAAATACTATATTTGATGCTTTTATTTATCATAAATAACAGTAAACTTAATATATTTGGGCTTTGAACTGACATGAAGATGTCACCGTGGCAAAATATTAAGCATTTTTTACTATTTTCTGTTCAGTTAATCTCAAAATGTCCTTAAAAATCTCTAAATGTTTTGTCTGTCTCAGCCACCTGGTCGCTGAGTCTCTCCCAGATGTCCTTGAACGCTTCGAGGCCCTCCAACGACTGTCTGCCACTCGCCGCACCACTCTGGAAGACCAGCTCCGCCTCTACGTGTTCGAGAGAGAAGCTAAAGAACTACAAACATGGCTGACCTCCAAGAAGACTGCGGCAGAATCCAGGGACTGCGGACAAGACCTGGAGGACGTAGAGGTGAGTCACACAGATTATAATAACTGTGACAGGGCTGCAGCTAACGATTGTTTTCATTATCGGTTAATATATCGATAATTTCCTTGATTAATAGATCAGTTGTTGTCCAAACTGTTTTCACATGCACTGAATTAACGTTTGTTAGCTGTAGACTCCTATAAAGTCTCGATATATTACTTTAGTCTCCTCATCCTTTTCCTGTTCCTCTATCTGCAGGTGCTTCAGAAGAAGCTGGAGGTTCTGGTGTCAGAGATGTCCGGTCTGGGTCGGAGCCGGCTGACTTCAGTGCAGCAGCTGGGCAGAGGGCTGCAGCACGACGGCGAGGCCCGGAGGAGGGACGACGCCCTCAGCAAGCTGTGGGACGACCTCAACAGCAGCATCAGGACCAGAGAACAGGTACAGTGAAGTTAACAGGGCACGCAGATACCCGGGGTAGGAGGTGGGGAGGGTAACGGTCTGTCCCTTGTCCTCCAGAGTCTGCAGTCGGCGAGGGAGGTTCATCAGTTTCATCACGATGTGGACGAGCTGAAGGGCTGGATGGCTGAGAAGGAGGCTGCACTGGACTCAGAGGACCAGGACCTGAACTCCGTCCAGACTCTGCTGAGGCAACACGAGGCGCTGGAGGTAGGAAACATCCAGCAGGAAACACAGGAACAGGAAGGACAGAAAACCAAAGAAAAGAAAATGTTGGCTAAAATCAAACTGGAACTTTTCATCTTTTTAGCTTTAAATTAAGTTATATATGAGATTTATAACATGAATATATTAGCAAACAGCTGCTCTGTGCGATTACTTTGATCTGTAAACTGAAGCTAAAGCTGTCAGAGTATAAAGTACAAAGTGGTATGAAAACTAAACACTCAAACCTCAGATTTGTACTTTACCAGCTCACGAGTCAGCAACACTGATTTGGTACCTTCAGTTCAGTCTGTACAATAACCCGCCTTGTTGTTGATGTCTGCCATCAGAGGGACCTGGTTCTGATCTCTGAGGAGGTGACCAGGAGCCGAGAGGAGGGCCGGGCTCTGAGCAGGCGGCAGCCTCAGGCCAGAACCGCTGTGACTCAGAGGCTGGAGGAGCTGGAGGCCTGCTGGACCAGCATCCAGGACAAAGCCTCCCAACGCCGGGCCAAACTGGGCCAGGCTGAGGACGTGCAGAAATACTTCTCCCACTGGACTGAACTCATGTAGGTCCGACATACAGACACACAGACACACA